ATGGCTAGTGAATCTGTGGAATTCTTTACCACAAAGGGCTGTTGAAGCTTGGTCATCAATTATGTTCAATTCAAGGCTGAGATAGATTTTTAATCAAAATACAAGAGCAGGAAGTACTGTTGAGGCTACATAACTCCATGGTCAGACTGTATTTTGAATATTGAGAGCAACCCCATACCAAAGGATGGATGTGTTGGCGTTGGAGGAGGTCCACAGGATGTTTACGAGAATGATCCCGGGGATGAATGGCTTGTCACATGAGGGATGGTTGAGGTCTCTGGGTTGGCACTCTATAGAGTTTAGAAAGCTCGGGAGGAGTCTGATTGAAACTTACAGAATATTAAGGGACCTGGAAAGATTGGACACGGAGATGTTTCCACCAGTAGGAGACACTAGGATCCGAGGGTACAATCTCAGAGTGAAGGGACTACCCTTTAAAACTGAGATGAGAAATTTCTTCAGAGCGTGTGGAATCTGTGGAACTCGTTGCATAGAAGGCTGTAGAGACCAAGCAATTGAGTGTATTTAAGACAGAAATAGATAGACTCTTGATTGGTAAGGGGATCAAGACTTACAGGGAGAATGCGTTTTGGAAACTGTCAGCCATGGTCGAATGGCAGAGCAGACCCAACTGGCCGCATGGCCAAATTCTGTTCCGATATCTTGCAGACTTATAGTCTACAGTAAGGAGATCGAGGGTAATGGGGAAAAGGCAGGAAAGTGGAACTGAGAATGATCAGATTATACATGATCTTGTTGAATGGAGGAACAAGCTTAATTGCCTGAATGGCTCACTTCTGCTCTGATGTCTTATGGTCTTGCTCCAACATTTTCCATTTTTATTCTAAACTAAGGCTTTCTACTTCATCTCTGTAGTGTTATGCAATTCCTCAGTCCAACTTGTGCTGAAACTTTGCCTGTTATCTCTTGATCTATGCACAATCATTGACCGGTCTGCCACATTTTATCTACTATAAAATTTTTGCAATCAAAAAATTGCTGCCTGTATCTCAATTTACACCAGGTTTCACTCATCAAATCCTGTCTTTACTGATTATATTGGCTGTTGTTTGACTAACACTTGAATTTAAAAATTCTCACCCTTGTTTTCAAATTCCTCTTTGGCCTTGCCCCTCCCCATATCTGTAATCTCCTCTAGTCATATAATCCCTGGAGGTACGTGTTCTTTCGATTTTGGACTCTTGAGCATCCCAGATTTCCATTGTTCTGGCGATGATGAATTTGACTAGAGCTAAGGAACAAAAATGCTGCAACCCACAGACTGTGAACTAGTGAAAACTATATATAAGATCAAATCTACAGGGAGATTACAGAGTAGTTACAATAGAGGATTTTAATTACCAATGTATAGGCTTGGATACTGGTACTGTAAGGGGGCAAGGGGCAAATGCTCCTAGATTGTGTTTTGGTGCATTTCCTACAGTATTATGTACCCAGTCCAACAAAAAAGAATAAACTCAGAAGATCTGGCAGCATCCATGGCATGAGAAACCAAGTTAATATTTTGAGTTCAATAGAATTCTTCCAAAATGTTAACTTTGTTTCTCTCTCTACAGTATTTTGCTTTTAGTTAAGGAAGAATGCAATGTTGGATGTGGTTCTTGGAAATTAGGCAAGCCAAGTGGATCAGGTATCAGTGGGAAAACATCTAGGATACAGTGATCATTGAATTGTAAGGTTTAGGATGATGGTGAAGAATGACAATAGACAGAGAAAGATAAATCAATTGGCAGAGAGATGACTTCAATGGAGCAAGAACAGAGCTGTGTCAGTTAGACTGGAATGAAATGTCAGTAGGATAAACTGTAACTTAGCAACAGAGTAAGTATGTTCAAAATGAGATGATTTGAGTACATTCTCTGAAAAGGAAAGAGTAGGGACAAATGGATCAGAGATCTCTGGATGATGAACAAACAAGGAACAAGTATAGGCCACTCAGACCTTCAAGCCTGCTTTACCATTCACTAAGATCACAGATCTGACCTATCTTTAACCTGAACTTTACATTGCCTTCAGGCAGTACATTCTGGATCATTCTGGAGGAGAGGCTAAGAGGAGATCTGATAGAGATTCTCAAAATTATGAAGGATCTGGACAGATAGGGAGAACCTGTTCCCATTTGTAAAAGGGTCAAGAATGAAAAGACACGGGTTTAAAGTGATCTGTAACGGAAGCAAATATGATTTGAAGAAAAGCATTTTTGCATGGCAGGTAGTTCAAGTCTGGAATGTACTGGATGTACAAGTCTGGATCTTTCATCTCCGGGGTAAATAAGAATTACCTACCTGTGCCTTAAAAATATTTAAATATTCTGCATCTACTGCCTTTTGAGGAAGTGAATTCTGAAGACTCTGAACCCACATAGAATATATCCTAAATAAAAACCGAAAGAACTGCAGATGCTGTAAATGAGGAACAAAAACTGAAGTTGCTGGAAAAGCTCAGCAGGTCTGGCAGCATCTGTGAAGAAAATTAGAGTTAACGTTTCGGGTCCGGTGACCCTTCCTCAGAACTGAAAGAATATTTCCTCATCTGTTTTAAATGGGTGCTCCCTTATCTTTAAACTTTGGCCCCTAGTTCCAGATTCTCCCACAAGAGGAAATATCCTTTCCACATCCATGCAGTCAACTCCCCTCAGATTCATGTTTTTCAATTCGGTCACCTCTGACTGTTCTGAACTCCAGAGGATAACAGGCCTACCCTGTTTACCCTTTCCTCACAAGACAATTCAATCATTCCAGGTATTAGTCTAGTAAGCCTCTCTGAACTGCATCCAATGCATTAACATCCTTTCCTAAGTATGGTGACCAGTACTGTAAATAGTACCCCATTGCAGCCTTACCAAGGCCCTGTATAACTGGAGCAGAACCTCTCTATGCTTGCTTTCAATTCCGCTCACTATACACCATAATATTCTATTTACTTTGCAAGTTTTCAGGAAAGCTATGACAAGTGGAAATAGGATAAAGAAGAAAATGTTTGCTCATAACAGTGTGTTCAGTAGAAAAGACAATTGAGAATTAAGAGGAAAACAGAAACTTGAGGGTGGAGGTGAAAAAGCAAATCAGAGAAGCAAAGAGGAATTATGACAAACATAAAGTGAAATCTCCAAGTCTCCTATGACCATATAAAAAGTAAAAGAGAAAGGTGTACTGCAGGTTAGGGACCAAAAATGGGATTTACACATGGAGGTAGCCCAGGCCATGGCAGCAGAGGAGGAATCTTGGGTGTCAATAGAAGGGTTCAAAATTGATCAGGAACATGTTTTATAGGACGTTGGTAGTTCAAGTTGACAAGGCACCATAACTGGTTGAGATGTATCCGAGGAAACAGAAGGAAACGAGTGGGAATTGCAGGGCTATTTCTAAATAAATCTTTCAGTCTTCCCTCAGCTCGTGGAGATGCCAGAAGACTGGAAATTGCATACATTGTGCTCTTATTCAAGACAAGTTGTACAGAAAAGCCCTGAAATTACAAACCAGTTGTTTAAGTTTGATAATAGGGAAGCCTCTAGAAACAATTATAGATAAAATTAGTAGTACTGTGGAAAAAGGGGAGATAATTAGAAACAGCCAGCATGGATTTTTAAACGTGAAATCATGTTTACATAACTTGGAGATTTTTTAAAGAGTTGACAGAACAGGTTGATGAGGGTAATGCTATTGATGTCGTGTACATGGACTTTAGAAGGCATTCAGTGCAGCGCCACACAAAGAACAGTACAGCAGTGAGCAGGACCTTCAGCCCAAGACTACACCAACACAATGCCTTTCTAAACTAAAAATCTTTTGACTACACTGTCCATATCCCTCTATTCAATGCCTAATCATAGATCTGTCACACAACAGACTTGAGGGAAGTTATAGGCCATGGAATAAAAGGGACAGTGGAACCACAAATACAAAATTGATTGAGTAATAGGAAACAGAGTAATGGTCAATGGTTATTTTCAGATTTCATTGAGGATGACAGAACACATGAAGAGAGGAGTAAATAAACCATAAAGTAACCTGGGCTTTATTAATAGGGGCATAAAACACAACAGCAAGAAGGTGATACTGAACAAGTATACAAGACACTTGGTAGACCTCAGCTGGACTACAGCAGACACTTCTGTGCTGCACTACAGGAAGGATGTAAATGCATTGGTGAGAATGCAGAAGAGATTGTAAAGAATAGTTCCAGGGATGAGGAAGTTAAGTTATGCGGATAGATTGGAGAATTTAGGACAGTTCTCCTAGGAGGAGAGGCTAAGAGGAGATCTGATAGAGATTCTCAAAATTATGAAGGATCTGGACAGATAGGGAGAACCTGTTCCCATTTGTAAAAGGGTCAAGAATGAAAAGACACAGGTTTAAAGTGATCTGTAACGGAAGCAAATATGATTTGAAGAAAAGCATTTTTGCATGGCAGGTAGTTCAAGTCTGGAATGTACTGCCTGAAGTGTGGTGTAAGCAGGCTGAATTGAAACATTGTAGAGGGCATTTGATGATGATTTAAAAAGAAGCAATGTGCAATGTGATGGGCTCAATAGCCTTTTTTTTGCTGTAGTACTCCTGCGCTGGCTATGCCTTCAACTGCCTGGACCTCAAGTTCTAGAGTCTGAATAAAACTCGTCGCAATACTGGAAGGAGGGAGTCAGGAAACAGCCTGGAGTAGTAGTTCAGGCAGCAAACCTGGCAAACTTTAACAATTACCTGGATGAGCACTTGAAATATCATAACATTCAAGGCCATGGGCCTAGTGTGGGAAGTTGGATAATGCAGGTAATCATATATTTTTGGCGATACAGACTTGATGAGCTAAAGGGCCTTTTCTGTACTGTAAGGTTTAAGGAGTAAAAACTTGGTGGTGATGAGTGCTGGGAATGGACATATTTAAGGCTCAAATCTGTGCTTTGATTATTCATGAAAGATCTTTGCAATTCTTACTAAAGAAGCATTTATAAAGATGAACAAAGGTTATTTTCCAATTACTACCTTAGTGTTGCCTTTAAACTCCTCCTGATCAAAGTCAAAGTTACGGCACAATGCACCAACAGTAAAAAGGGAGCGAAGAAGGGCAGGTTTATTGCCAACGAGAGCAGTGTTGCTGGAATCCTCCTGGTGTTGCGCCTTCAGTTTTGTTAGAGCACCTGTCATGTGAGTAAACACAATTTTATTAAATTTAAGAGCAATGAGTTTTCAAAGAGTCTTCATGCTTTGCTATTTAAAATTTGCACACATAGTAAAAGGATATGGGACACTAGTTTGGAGGACTTCAGTTTGTACCATCCCACAATTGGATGCTTGGATCCAAATATCTTTGGTAGAGATAGTTTCCAGGTTAGTGTTTTAAAGGTTTTCTTTACAGAATCCTTTTATTTTAAGGAAAATAATTAATTAATGGAATGTGGATGTCATTGGCATGGTCATCATTTAATGTCCACAAGAAACTGATATATTTGGCTAGCAAGGGCAGTCATGACACTGCCAGGCCACTCTTGGTGATGGATATCGCAACCCCAAACCCAGAGTAGTTTGTCACCTCACCACATCTCCTAACTGGGGGTCAGTATGAAATATAGGAACAGGAGTCAGGCCAGATAACCTATCGAGCCTGCCCCAACCATTCAATAACATCATTGCTGATTGAACATATCAAATGCACCTTGGTCATTCATCTCCATAATTCTGCATGGTAATTAGAAATCTAACAATCTCTACCTTAAACATACTCAAACATCCCTGTGGTAAAGAACTTCAAAGGTTCACAACAAAACAAAACAAATTTTCATCTCAGACCTAAGTGGCATCCCCTTATTTTTAAATGGCGTTTCTGCCACCAAAGGAAACATCAACCATTTTCATCTCTTTAAGCATGTTCTATGTTTCAATAAGATCGCCTCTCACTCTTTGAAACTCCAGAGAATACAGGCCCAGTTTTCCCAATCTTTCTTCGTGGAACAGAGAAATACTCTGCAATCTCTGGAACAAGGCTGTTGAATGAGTTTTGCACTCCCTCTATAGCAATTACATTCCTCTTATAAGGAGACTAAAACTGCACACAATACTCCAAGCTCCTATACAAATGAAGCAAGACTTCACTATTCCTATACTCAAACCCTTCAGTTATAAAAGCTAACATTCCACAAGCCTTCCTAATGGTTTACTGCACCTGCACGCTAGCCTTCAGTGACGTATCGACAAGGACACCTACGTCCCTTTCTACATCTCCACTTTTCAATCTCACCATCTCAGAAATACTCTGCACATCTGTTTCTTCTACCAAAGTGGACAACCTCACATTTTCCCATGTCATATTCCATCTGCCATGTTATTGTCCACCTACTAAGCCTGTTGACTCCTGAAGCCACTTTACATCTTCCTCACAACACACATTTCCACTTAGCTTTATATCATCTGCAAATGTGGGATAATACAATTGATTCCTACCTCTATTGATATGTTATAAATACATAATGAATAGCTGTGGCCCAAGCTAGAGAAAGATCCATTTATTCCTACTGTCTGTTAGCCAATCATTCATCCATTCCAATACATTACCTCCTGTGTCATGTGTTTTGAGGTACTGAGAAAAATCAGGTTGGTAGGAGATCTCAAGAAAAGGAATTCGTGAAATGTCTATGAGATCATTTCTTGGAGCAGCTTGCGGCAGACCCCATTAGGGTACAGACAATTCTAGATTTGATGATGTGCAATAAAGCAGAGTTGATTAGGGAGGTGAAGATGAAGGAACCATAATACAATAGATTTCACCCTGCAGTTTGAGAGGGAGAAGCTGGAATCAAATGTAATAGTATCACAAATGAGTAAAGGTAACTACAAAGACATGAGGGAGGAGCCAGACAAAGTTGTCTGGAAGGGGAGCCTAGCAGGTAAGATAGTGGAACAGCAATGGCAGGAGCTTCTCGGGGTAATTTGGGAGGCACAGCAGAAATTCATCCCAAGGAAGACCAAACATACTAAACAGACAACAAGACAACCACGGCTGACAAAAGGAGTCAGTGACAGCATAAAAGCAAAAGAAAAAGCATACAATTGTGGTAAAGATTAGTGAGAAGCCAGAGGATTGTGAAGCCTTTAAGACCCAGCAGAGGACAACTAAGAAAAGCAGTTAGATGGGGTGGGGTGAAGGGAGAATAGAGATGAAACACAAGGGCTAGCTACTAATATAAAAGAAGACCACAAGTACGTATTTTTAACATTAATAAGGCAAGAAAGACAAGAGTGGATATTGGACCACTGGAAATTGAGGCTGAAGAAGTAGCAACGGGGAACAAAGAAATGTTAGAGGAACTGAATTGGTACTTTGCATCACTCTTCCCAGTGGAAGACACCAGCTGCATTCCAGACCTTCAAGAGAGTCAGGGGGCAGAGATGAATGTAGTGGCCATCACTGAGGTGGTGGTGCTGGGAAGCTGAAAGGTCTGAAAGTGGGTAGTGACCTGGACTAGATGGATTACACCCAAGAATGCTGAAGGAGATAGCTGAGGAGATTATGCAGGTATTCATTCAGGAATCACTGGGGTGATGGAGGGACCTACAGGACTGGAAAATATTTAAGGAGGGAAGGAGACAGAAGACTGAAAATTACAAGCCAGTTGTTCTGATGCCAGTCCTTGCTAAGACTGGAGAGTGTATTATTAAGGATGAGATTGTGGAGTACTTGGAAGTGCCAAGTAAGGTACAGCTGAGTCAGCACGGCTTCATCAGGGGATTGTCATGCCCGACAAATGTTAGAATTCTCGGAGGAGATACTGAGCAAACTAGACAAAGGAGAGCCAGTGGGCGTGATCTACTTGGATTTCCAAAAGGCTTTTGACAAGGTGCTACACAGGAAGCTGCTATATAGGAGCACGTGGGATTAGAGGCAAGATACTGGCATAGACAGAGGATTGGCTGACTGTCAGAAGGCAGAGTGTGGCAATTTTGAGGAAATGGGAAGGTTGCAGAAGGACTTGGACAAAGGAGTGACAGACAGAATACAATGTGGGAAGCATGAGGTCACGCACTTTGGTATGAAGAATAGAGGCATAGACTATTTTTTAAATGGGGGAAGACATCAAAAATCTGAAGCAAAAAGAGATCCTAATCTTAAGGCTAATATACTGGTTCATTTCGCAGTTAGGAAGGCAAATGCAATGGTAGTATTCATGTAAAGAAGGTTAGAATATAAGAGCAGAGACATACTGCTAAGGCTGTATAAGGTTCTGGTCAGATTTTATTTGGAATATTGAGAGGAGTTTTGGACCCCGTATCTATGGAAGGACGTGCTGGCGTTGAAGTGGTACAGAGGCTTAAAAGATTGATTCAGGCAATGAAGGTCTGATCATGAAGAGGGTTTAAGGACTCTGGGACTTTGAAGTTTGAAAGGATGAGATGGATCTCATAAACTTACAGAATACTAACAGGCCGCCATACAGTGGATGTTTTCACTGGTGAGAGAGAGTAGGACCCCAGGTCACAGCATCAGAGTAAAGGGATGACCCTTTAGAGCTAAGATGAGGAATTTCTTCAGCCAGAGGTCGGTGAATCTGTGGAACTCATTGTCACAGAAAGCAGTGGAGGCCAAGTCATCAAGTAAATTTAAGACAGAGATAAATAGATTCTTGATTATTAAGGGGATCGAGGATTACAGGCAGAATATAGGAGAACGGGGTTGAGAAACAAATCAGCCACAATTGAACTGTGGAACAGACTCAATGGGGTGAATGGTCTAATTCTGCTCCTTTACCTTATTGTCTAAACACGATTTCCCATTCACAATTCCTGCTATGCCTAATCAGATTATTATCAACCATGCATCAATATACCCTATCCTTTATAATAGATTCTAGCATTTTCCTTACCACTGATGTAAGATGAACAGATCTTCTTAAATAGCAGGGAAGCATTTAATACTTTCTAATCTGCAGCAGTCATTCCAGTATCTGTAGAATTTTGGAAAGTAATCACCAATGCATTGATTATCTGTAGAACAAGCTCCTTCAAACATGTGCATGAGGAACAAGAGTTGGCCACTTGGCCCTTTGAACCCACTCAACAGGATCTTAGCTGATCTTACTTTAACCATAACTTCATATTTTTGAATACCCCACAAATCTTTTATTCCCTTGGTAATCAAGAATCCATCTATCTCTGCCTTAAAAACGTTTAAAGATTCTGCACCAAATGCCTTTTGAGATTGGGAATTCAAGACAGACTGGACCCTCAGTGAATTTTCTCCCACATTTCTGTCTTAAATGAGCAACACCTTATTTTTAAACCAAAACACTCTAGAGGAGTACTTATTGACCAGGTAGTAGGATGTGGGGTTATGCAAGACGGAGGCAGGTGGCGATCAGGGGGTTTCATGCCCATGCTTTCCCTTATGCAATGAGACTTCATGGAGTCTGCAGTCAATGTAGCAGGCTCCTATGGAAACTCTCTCCCAACAGTATACCTCTATGGTGCCATTGTTTGTCTTGCTGGTTGTACCATGCATACTCAAGGATTGTGGTGCTGGTGGCACATACTCTCTAAGAATGACCATGACAGGCTAGGGTTCTGAGGAAGGATCACTTGACCCAAAACATTAACTCTGATTTCTCTCCACAGATGCTGCCAGACCTGCTGAGCTTTTCCAGCAATTTCTGTTCTTATGACAGGCTATTACCTGACTAATCTGCAAGACAGTTCTCCCAGTTTTGGCCACTCTCAGATGCTGATAAGGTGGTTTTTGCAGGAATGAATTTACCACTGCTGCTTGTGGTACCTAGGTCAATACCAATTAGTCAATCTGGCTGCAACCATAATAGTTGATTTTTTTTTTTATTCACTTGTGGGATGCAAGCATCATTGGCTGCAGCAGCATTTTATTTCCTGTCTCTAGTTGCCCTTGAGAAGATGGTGGCATACTGCCTTTTTGAACCGCTGCAGTCTGTGTGCTGTAGGTAAACACAGAATACCATGAAGAAGCGAATTCCAGGATTTTGACCCAATGACAACTGAAGGAACAGTTGTCAAGTTTTTCAAGTCAGGATGGTGAATGATTTGGAGGGGAACTTGCAGGTGGTAGTGCTTCCCATCTGTCACATTTGTCCTTCTAAATGGAAGTGGTTGTGGGTTTGGAAGGTGCTGTCTAAGGATCTTTGGTGAATTTCTGCAGTGCACCTTATAGATAATACACACTGCTGCTATTGAGTTTCGGTGGTGGAGGGAGTCGACGTTTGTGGATGTGAAGCCAATCAAGTGCCCTGCTTTATCCTAGATAGTGTCAAGCTTGAATGTTATTGGAGCAGCACTCATCCAGTGGGGAGTATTCCGCCATACTCCTGACGTGTGCTTTGTAGATGGTGGACAAGTTTTGGGGAGTCAGGACGTGAGTTCATCACTGCATCCTTCGCAGCCTCTGACCCACTCTTGTAGCCATTCCATTTATATGATGAGTCCAGTTCAGTTTCTGGTCAATGGTAATCCAAAGGATGATGTTAATGTTGGTATATTAAGGGGTGTCAAGGTGCGGTCTTAAGATTGTCCCTTTTTGGATATGGTAATTGCCTGGATTTTGTGTGATGTGAATGCTACTTGCTATTTTACAGCACATTCCTGAATATTGACCAGCTTTTGCTGTATTTGGGCATGAACTGCTTCAGTATCTGGTTGTCATGAATGGTGCTAAACATAACTGAACTTGGTTGTGGGTAGGACACTAACTGAGGAACTCCTGCAGATGTCCTGGAGCTGGGATGACTGACCTCCAACAACCACAACTATCTTCCTATGTGCTAGGTATGACTCTAACCAGTGGAGTGTTTTCTCTGATTCCCATTGACACCAGTTTTGTTAGGGTTTCTTGATGCCACACTTAGTCAAATGTTGCCTTGATGTCAAAGGCAGTCACTCACTTTACTCAATTCTGTTCTGAAGTGAGAGCTTGCCAGGCAATTTCAGAATGCATTACTGAGTCAATCACATTTCTCTGGATCTGCAGTCACACAGGTCAGATTTTCTCAACTCGAGGCTATGACAATTAACAGTGGGTTCACAAACACCATTAGACTATTTTTTAAATTGCAGATTTATTAACTGAATTGGTATTCCACTAGCTGCCGCAGTGAGATTTGAAGCCATGTCCCGTTGCAGGGGAGTGGGCTCAGAAGATATTTCCATCTGTAGGGAGATCAGAACTGGGGACCATAAACATGAGACAAATACAAATTTAACAGCAAGTTCAGGACAAAGTTCTTTAAACTGCCAGTAATTAAAACAATCAAATTAACTACGCCTGGTAGTAAATTCTATCATAGAAGCAATTGGGATAAAGCGAGATACCACACAAGAGGGGGAAATGAATAGGAGGATGTGTTGGGGAGTTTAGATGATCACAGCGAAAGCAGCCACGCAAAACCATCAGCATAGATCTGTTCAGCTCAACGTTGCAATGCTATAAACACGATGTAATACAAACAATAAATGAGGCATTTAAATGGGAACTTCAGTAATCACGGAGGAGAAAAGCATAGAAGGACACACAGAGAAGTGGAGGAATTTGGTGTGGATCCTAAACAAAGCCAGAAAATTGATGCGTTACACATGTGTACATTACACAAGTGCAACGCATCAATTTTCTGGCTATGTTTAGGATCATTACACAAGTGATTTAAAATGAATCAGCAGTGATGAAGGAATAGTACATTAAATAGCTGAAATAGATTATGGGCAAATAAGGTGCTTCTGTCACTGTGAACACAGAGTTGAATAAGGGCTACTTACCATAATACCTATTAAAACAGGCCCACACAAATTTAAAGTTGTGAGTTACTCTGTTGACTACAGCTCCCAGACAGCTCACACAGTGTTGAACAACCTGTCAGAAAATAAGATAAAGCCCCATTAGGCATTTACGCCAAACAGAAAAAATCTCAACATCAATATGCATGATAGTAAACAGTGCACTGCCACTGTAATCCCTTGAATTTCAAGCTGGGGCATTAGCAGATATCTTCACATCTCCTTGACCACAGACGAGGTTCCAGAGGACTGGAGATTAGCCAATGTTGTCCTATTGTTTAAGAAAAGGAGGAGGTATAATCCAGGAAATTATAGGTCAGCGAGTCTGACATCTGTGGTGGGGAAGCTCTTGGAAAAGATACTGAGGGGCAGGATATATGCACATTTGGAAGAAAATGGACCAGTTAGCAACAGCCAGCACGGTTTTGTACGGGGAAGGGCATGTCTCACCAATCTGATTGAATTTTTTGAAGAGGTGACAAAGATAATTGATGAGGGAAGAGCTGTGGATGTAGTTTATGTGGACTTGAGTAAGGCATTTGATAAAGTCTCACATGGCAGATCAGTACAACAACTAAAATCACATGGGATTCGGGGTGGGCTGGCTAGACAGATACAAAACTGGCTTGGTCATAGAGACAGAGGGTAGGGGTGGAACGGGTGTTTTTCAGAACAGAGACCGGTAACTAGTGGTGTTCCACAGGGATCAGTCTTAGGTCCTCTGTTGTTTGTAGTATATATAAATGATCTGGAGGAAATGTGGGTGGTCTGATTAATAAGTTTGCAGATGACACGAAGATTGGTAGAGATGCTGGTAGTGCTGACGATTGTGAAAGGATACAACAGGATATAGAGAGATTGGCGACTTGACACAGAAATGGCAGATGGAGTTTAATCCAGACAAATGAGAGGTGATGCATTTTGGGGGATCAAATTTAGGTGTGAATTACTGGCAGAACCCTTAGGAACATTACCATACAGATGGATCTGGGTGTGCAGGTCCACAGTTCTCTGAAAGTGTAAAACACAGGTGGCCAAGGCGATTAAGAAGGCATAATGGCATGCTTGCCTTCATCGGCTGGGGCATGGAGTACAAGAGTTGGCAAAACATGTTGCAGCTATATAAAACACTTGTTAGGGTGCACGTGGAGTATTGTGTGCAGTTTTGGTCACCACACTACTTGAAGGACATGGAAGCTTTGGAGAGAGCGCAGAGAAGGTTCACCAGCATGTTGTCCAGTCTCAAGGGCATTGGCTATGAGGAAAGGTTAAAAAGACTAGGACTGTTTTCACTGGAAAGACGGCGGCTCAGAAGAGACCTGATAGAGGTCTACAAAATTATGACAGGCATAGATACAGTGGATAGTCAAAAGCCTTTTCCCAGAGTTGAAGTTTCAATTACAAGGGGGCACAGGTTCAAAGGTCAGAGGGAAAAAGTTTAAGGGAGATGTGCGAGAAAAGTTTTTCACGCAGAGTGTGTTAGGAGCCTGAAATGCACTGTCAGAGGTTGGTGTTGGAAGCAGGCACATTGGGCGACATTTAAGAGGCATCTGGACAGTTACATGAATAGGGAGGGAATAGAGGGATACAGACTGAATAAGGGCAGAATTGTTTTTTAGTTTAGTCTGGGCATGATGAATAGCACAGGCTTGGAGAGCCGAAGGGCCTGTTCCTGTACCGTACCTAACTTTTGTTCAAATCTCTGTAAATGCTGCTTAGCTTCCAAATTCAAGAAATTCATTAACCCCATGCTCAGATCACTCCATTTTTCATCAATGCCTGTTTTCTCTGCAACCCTGGATTCCAGGCTTACAGTCATTGGACAGTAAGAGGTGACTTGATTGAAACATACAAAATTTTGAGAGGGCTTGACAGGAAAGAGAGAGAAAAATTATCAGGGGATGTTGGGAAGCTGATTTAATAAAATCAGCCACAATCTTATCGAACCCTGGAGCAGGTTCAAGGAGCTGAGGGGTCTTCTCCTGCTCCTAATTTATATGCCCTCATGAAATTTTTCCAGTTTCTTCTGAAACAGTGTTGTCACTGAGGAGAAGAAATATGGTAGGTCATCAAGAGGAGTTATACAGGATGGTCAAATGGGTAAATTAAATTAACAAAGTGTGAAGCGATTTCCCCATTCTTCCAAACAAAAAGGTATTGCAATATACACTCAAAGGCACAATTCAAAAATGTACACAGGATCACAGGAGGCTGAGAGTGTGTGCATACAAAGCGTTGAAGATGTCAGGGCAGTTTGAGAAAGTGGTCTGTTGTCATATGGGATCCTGGGCTTTTTGTTATGGAGAGAATTCAAGTAGTTACGAAAAACCTTCTGAAAAGAACAGATTCAGCTGCCATCACTAAGGAGAAGGTGCCAGGGAAGCTGAAAGGTCTTAAGGCGGATAAATCACCGGGACTGATGGACCACACCAGAAAGTCCTGAAGGAGATATTGAAAAGACTGTGGAGGCATTGGTGGTGATCTTTCAGGAATCATTGGATTTAGGGAGGGTCCCAGAAGAAAAATGGCGAAGGTAATACCTCTGTTTAAGGGAGAAAGACAGATAACGGGAAATTATAGGACAGTTAGTCTGACCTTGGTCATTGGTATGATTTTAGAATCCATTACCAAGGATGAGATTGCTGAGTATTTGGACATGCATGGTTAAATGGGGGTGGGTCAGCACAGCTTCATCAAAGGGAGGTCATGTCTGACAAATCTATTAGAATTCTCAGAGGAGATACTAAGCAAGTTAGGCAAAGGAGAACCAGTATCTATTGTATCTATTTGTATTTCCAAAAGGCCTTTGACAAGGTGCCACACAGAAGGCTGCTAATTAAAATAAAGTCTTATGGTGTTAGGGATAAAGTACTGGCATAAATATAGGATTAGATGACTGGCAGAATGCAGACAGTGGGGATAAAGGGGTCTTTTTCAGAATGGCAGCCGTTGACCACTGGAGTTCTGCAGGGGTCAGTGTTGGGACCACAACTATTCACGTCATACATTAATGATCTGGACAAAGGAACTGGGCATGTCATCTGCAAAATTACCAAAGATAGGTGGAGGGACAGGCAGTGCTGAGGAGGTGGGGAGGCTTCAGAATGAATGAATAAACAAAAATCAGCCTAACCAATTAGACCTAACCACTCCAATTGAATATCTGAACAAAGTTGATGGATTGAAATGACATTCAAGTTCTCCTGCATCAATTAATCATGAAACAGTTACAGCACAGGAGAACTTTTGGCTTGGAGAGTGGGCAAAGAAGTGGCAAATGAAATACAATGTGGGAAACTGTGAGGTTATGCACTTTGGCAGCAAGAATAGAGATGTTTCCACCAGTACAGACTTGGACCTGAAGGCACAGCCTCAGAGTGAAGGGACAACCCTTTAGAAGAAAGAAATAAGTTCAAAGAAATATGAGAAATAAAAAAAATGGATGATCACCTTATTGGGATTGTACTATAGGCCTCTAATAATCAGTGGGAAATTAAGAAGCAAATTTGTAAGGTGATCTGAGACATCTGTAATAATGATAGCGTTGTAATGGTAGGGGATTTTAACTTTCCAAACATAAACTGGGACTGCTATAATGTTAATGGTTTGGATGGACAGGAATTTGTTAAGTGTGCACAAGAACATCTCCTTGTGGATGTACTAACTAGAGAAAGAGCAAAACTTGACCTCCTTTTGGGAAGAAGGGCAGGGCAAGTGACTGGGGTGTCAGGGAGAAGCACTTTGGGGCTATAATTCTACTGGTTTTAAAATAGTTATGGAAAAGGATGAACCTTTTCTAAAAGTTAAAGTTCTGAATTGGAGTAAGATCAATTTTGAGAGTATTAGGGAAGAACTTTCAAAAAAGTTGATTGGGAGAGGCTATTCGCAGGCAAAGGTACGGTTGGAAAGTGGAAGGCCTTCAAAAATGAGATAACAAGAGTCCAGAGGCAGTATGTTCCTATTAGTGTGAAGAGAAAGGCTGGTAGGGAAAGCCGGATAACTGGAGAAATTGAAGCTCTGGTCAAGAAAAAGGAGGCATACGGCAAGTATAGACAACTGGGATCAAGTAAATCCCTCGAGGAGTATAAAAGCAGGAGTAGTATACTCAAGAGGGAAATCAGCAGAGCATAAAATAGCTTTGGTAAATAGGGTTAAGAAAAATCCAAAAGAGATTCTACAAACACATTAAGGGCAAAAGAGTAACGAGGGAGAGACTAAGGCCTCTGAAAGATCAACAAGGCCACCTATGTGTGGAACTGCAGGAGATGGGGGAGATACTAAATGAGTATTTCACAACAGTGTCTACAGTGGGGAAGGATATGGAAGCTAGACAACTTGGAGAAACAAACAGTGATATCTTGAAAAGTGTCCATATTACAGAAGTGGTGGTGCTGTACATCTAAAAAAAAATGCATAAAGGTGGATAAATCCTCAGGACCTGATCAAGTACATCCCAGAACTTCATAGGACGCTAGAGAGAGGAGTAATTGCTGGGCTCCTTGCAGAGATATTTGTATCATCCATAGCCAGGGGTGAGGTGCCAGGAGGGTGGCTAATGTGGTGCCACTATTTAAGAAATGCTGCAAGGATAAGCCAGGCAACTACAGACCATCGGGGGATTGAGAGGGACAGGATTTACAAGTATTTGGAAAGGCAAGGACTGATTAGGGATAGTCAACAATCAAGTTAGTGAGACAATTTTCCATTTTGTGTATCGGAAATTGTGTCTCACTAACTTGATTGACTTTTTTGAAGAAGTGACAAAAGATGGAAGGCAGCAGAGTGGTGGACCTTGTCTATATTGACTTCAGCAAGGCATTCCACAAGGCTCTGTATGGTAAACTGATTAGATCAGATGGAATCCAGGGAGAGCTAACCAATTTCGAAACAAAATTGGCTTGATAGTAGGAGACAGAGGGTGATGGTGGAGGGTGTTTTTCAGACTCGAGGACTGTGCCACAAGGATCAGTGCGAGATCTACTGTTTTTTGTCATTTATATAAATGATTTGGGTGTGAATATAGGAAGTTTGGTTAGTAAGTTTGCAGATAACACCAAAATTGGTGGTGTAGCGGACAGCGAAAAAGGTTATCTCAGAGTACAATGGGCCCGTGATCAGATGGGCTGATGGAGTGAGGATTGGCAGTTGGAGTTTAATTTAGATAAATGTGAGGTGTTTTTGTATTTTGGCAAGGCAAACCAGGGCAGCACTTATACAGTTAATGGTAGGGTCCCAGGGAATGTTGCCAAACAAAGAGATCTTGGGGCACAGGTTCACTCTTCTTTGAAGGTGGAGACGCAGGAAGATGGGATAGTGAAGGCGACGCTTGGTACACCTGCCTTTATTGGTCAGTGCACTGAGCAGAGGAGTTGGGAGGTGATGTTGCAGCTGTACAGGACATTGGTTAGGCCACTTGTGGAATACTGCGTTTAATTCTCATCTCCCAGCTATAGGAACGATGTTGTGAAACTTGAAAGGGTTCAGAAAAAACTTACAAGGATGTTGCTGGGCTTGATGGGTTTGAGCTATAGGGAAAGTCTGAATAGGCTTGGAGCTATTTTCCCTGGAGCGTCAGAGGCTGAGGGGTGACCTTATCGAGGTTTATAACGACATGAGGGGCACGGATAGGGTGAATAGCCAAGGTCTCTTGCCTAGGATAGGGAAGTCCAAAATGAGAGGGGCACAGGTTTCAGGTGACAGAAAATGGTATAAAAGGGACCTGGGGCAACTTTTTCATGTAGAGGGTGGTGCATGTATGGAATGAGCTGCCAGAGGAAGTGGTCGAGGCAGTTACAATTACAACATTTGAAAGGCATCTGGATGGGTATATGAATAGGAATGGTTTGGGGGATATGGGCCCAATGCTGACAAATGGGACTAGATTAATTTTGGGTATCTGGTCAGCATTGATAAGTTGGACTGAAGTGTCTGTTTCTGTGCTGTACAACTCTATGAGTCTATAGATGAGATGAGGAGGAATTTCTTCTACCAGAGTGTGGTGAATCTGTGGAACTCTCTGCTGCAGAAGGCTGTGAAGGCCAAGTCATTGAGTTATTTAAGACAGAGATAGATAGGTTCTTGATTTACTAAGGTCATCGAGAGTCACAGGAGAAGGCAAGAGAATGGGGTTCAGAAACATATCAGCCATGATCGAATAGCTGAGGAGACTCGATCATGGCTGAACTGGAAATCTGGGCAGCACACTCCAGGAAGGATGAAGTGACTGCAGACAGGGAATTTAGTTAGATGGATATACTGAAAAACTTGGGATTATTCTCCACAGAGGAAAAGATGCATGAGAAATTTGAGTACAGTGTTCAAATCATTAGATGCCTAAACAGGGTGAGGAGGAACAAATTGTTCACAATAGCATGACAGCCAACAATCAAAGGCTACAAATTTAATGAAAGAAGAACTAAAGTTAAAATGAGAAAATAAAAACAAAACACTGCAGATGCTGGAAATCCGAAACAAAAACAAAATGGAGAAAATCAATAGCTCTGGCAACATCTGTGGAGAGAGAAACTGTTAACTTTTTGAGTCTGATATGACTCCGCATCAGCTAAACAAGTAATTTTTTTTCTATGAAGCAGGTGATTTGGATCTGGAATATATTGTCTGAGATGATACTGGAGGCAAGTTCATGCATGGCTTTCAAAAAGAAGCAGGACCAGCACTTTGAAGAAAATATTTCAAAAGCTCTAAGTACAGGGAGCAAGATGAACTATATTGCTTTTGCAAAGAGACAACAGATTCAGTGGGGCAAAATGTCTCCTGTACTATAACCACTCCATGATTTGTTGATACAGAAAAACATGGATACTTGTCAATCTGTCTAGTCTGTTCAGACATTCATTTACTCCTGATTATTCATTCACAGGATTTAGGCACTGGTATCCTGTCCTGCATTTACTGTCCATCCCTAATTGCCCAGAGGACAGTTAAGTATCAATTATGTTGCTGTGGGTCTGAAGTCACACGTAGACCAGACCAGGTAAGGATGGCAGATTTCCTTTCTTAAAGGACACTAGTGAACTAGTCAGACTTTTCCAACAATCATGTTCATCATTAGACTTTTAATTCCAGACTTTTACTGATTTCAAATTCTACCATTTGCCACGCTGGGATTTAAACTCAGGTTTCCAGAACATTACGATAAAACATAGGACTGCAACACTGAAACGTTCTGAAGAAGGGTCATTGGACTTGAAAGATTAGACCTGCTGAGTTTCTGCAGCAATTTCTGAATTGGTTTCCACAGAACATTATTTGGATCACTGAATTAGTAGTCTAGTGATAATATCACTAGGCCATCACCTCTCCTAAGGATCTGCATTCCTCTAGATGTGTGACCTTGAATACTCATGGCTTGGTCACAATAAAATATGTTCACTATTCTGAACCATATAACCAAAGCATCATATTTGAACTTTAGAACTGTGTGCTATAGTCATGCATTAGATTCTTACCGTCATTCCATGCTTAAGGATAAGTTTCATGAGATCTTCCTCTATTGTGGCCAAGAAGGTCTCACTTGGATGCTCCATCAATGGAACAACCAGTTCCAAAATCTTTGCCACATTGCAGATGACGAGGAAGTCGCTTTGTGTCTGGGAATGGGTAAATATAATAGACAAAGTCATGAATGTTATAGGATTGACCAAGACTGTTTGGCTCGTAGCTTTTATGCTGGCTCTCAAAGCAGTATATCCAGTCTAATTGGACCAGAATTCATAGAATCCCTACCGTGTGGAAACAGGCCATTTGGCCCATTTGAATCCATACTGACCCTCCAAACAGCATCCCACCTAGCCAGCATATCCCTGGACATTATGGGCAATTTAGCATGGCCAATCTACCTAACCTGCACATTTCTGGGCTGTGGGAGGAAACCGGAGCCCCCAGAGGAAATCCATGCAGACACGGGGAGAATGTGCAAACTCCACACAGACAGTCACTCGAGGCTGGAATTGACCCTGGGTCCCTGAAGCTGTGAGCCAACTGTGCTAACCACTGAGCAACCATGCCGAAATCTTGGATTGGATCTTTGAATTCTGATTCAAATAAATATGGCATATGTAAAGCAGCCTGCAGTACCTCGCCCTTTAAGAGACTGGCACCAAACATCAGTGGTACAGGGAGGAATTTTATAGCTGTAATGGTGAACAAGTATGGAGCTGCACTCATCCAGGGGACATTCATAGCATTCCATCACACTCCTGACTTTGGCCTAGCAAACAATGGACAGGCTTTGGGGAGTGAGAACCCGAGTTACTTGCCATAGAATTCTCAGCCTTTGATCTGTTCCAATAGCCGCAGTATTTACACATTTGGTCCATTCAGTTTCCAGTCAAGTTAACACTCCAGGATGTTAATAGTGGAGATTCAGTGATGGTAATAGTACTGAATGTCACTTGCTATTTTTTAAGCCCAAGCCTTGACACTGCCTAGGTCTTGCAGCATTTGGACATGGAAACAAATGAGACATTGGTAAGGCTACATTTGGAGTACTGCATACAATTCTGGTCACTGTGCCATAGGAAAGATGTTATTAAACTGGAAGGGGTATGACAAAGATTTATGAGGATGTTACCAAAACTGGAAGGTTTGAGTTATAAGGAGAGGCTGGGACTTTTTTTCTTGGAGCAGAGGAGGCAGGGGTGTGACCTTATAGAGGTTTATAAAATCATGAGGGGCATGGATAAGGTGAAGAGCAAGGATAGGGGAGTCCAAAACTAAAGGGCACAGGTTTAAAGTGGGAGGGGCAAGATTTAGAAAGGAACCAAAGTGCAACTTTTTCACAAAGTAGATGGTACATATATGGAATGAGCTGCCATAAGAAGTGATAGAAGTGGGTACAATTACATTTAAAAGACATTTGGACAGGTATGTGGATAGGGAAGGTTCAGAGGGATACGGGCTAAACACAGGCAAACAGGACTAGTTTAGTTTCAGAAACCTGGTCGACAGAGTCAAGTTGGGCCAAAGGGCCTGTTTCCGTGTTGTATGACTATGTATCTATGACTGCTTCAGTATCAAAAACCACATGACAACCAGGTTATAGTCCAACACGTTTATTTGAAGACAAAAACTTTCAGAGTCTTGCTCTTTCTTCAGGTGCTAGAAGGAGCAAGACTCTTGAAGACAAAAGCTTTCAATAAACCTGTTGGACTATAACCTTGCATCATGTGATTTTTGACCTTGTCCACCCCAGTCCAACACCGGCACCTCCACATCAAGCTTCTGTATCATCAGTGAATATTCTCACTTCTGACCTTATGATGGAGGGAAGGTCACTGAAGAAGAATACAGCAATAATTATGGATAAGTTTAATCTTTAAACTCATCCATAATTAAATCTTCATAATTTAATATCTTCCATAATTTAATCTTCATGTTGATGAGGTTAATCAAATTGGAAAAGGTAGTGATAGCAATAGATTCATACAGTGCTTTCAGGATAGTTTCATAGAGCAATATTAGGAAGCAGGATATCTTGGATTTGGTAATGGGCAATGAGGCAGGTTTAATAAATGATGTCAGAGTAAAAGGTCCCCCAGGAAGTACTGATCATAACATGATAGAATTTAACATTCACTTTCAGAGTAAGAAACATCTATCTGAACCAACTTTAACTTAAATACAGGAAATTACAATGAAATGAGGACAGAATTAGCTAAGGTGAACTGGGTGGACACATTAACAGGAATGACAACAAGCAAGCAGATATTTAAAGATTTAATTCACGATTCTCATCAAAAATACAATTCAGTAAGGAGCAAAGATTCTAAAAGGGCGTACTCTCAGAATAAAGGGGCACTAGTTTAAGATTGAGATGAGGAAGAATTTCTTCTCTCAGATGATTGAGTGTCTTTGGAACTCATTGCCACAGAGAGCTGTGGAGGCAGAGTCCTTTGTGTACATTTAAAGTAGAGACAGATAAAATTCTTGATCATTAAGGGAATCAAGCGTTAAAGGGAAAGGGTGGAAAGCGGAAGTGAGAAATGTCAAATCAGCTGTGATTCTACTGAATGGTAGAACAGTATTGAGGGGCTGAACAGCCTACTCCTACTGGTTTTATGAAGCAGCTGAAGGTGGTAGGCTCAAGGACAGTACCCTGGAGAACTGCCACAGAGATGTCCTAGAGCTCAGATGACTGATGTCCAACAAACACAACCGCCTTCCTTTGTGCCAGTTATTGGATAGAATCTGCCCACTCCCTTCCCCAATCCCCAGTTACTCCAATTTTGCTAGGGCTCCTTGACGTCACACTCTGTCAATGTGGTTTTGAGGTCTAGATTCTGGGAAAGTCCTGAAGTATTGGAAAACTGCCGACATAACACTCTTACTTAAGAAGGGAAGGAGACAAAAGGCAGGAAACTAAAGATTAGTTAGCTTTATTAGGTTTTGGGAAAATGTTAGAGTCTACTACAAAGAATGGAATAGCAGAACATTTGGAAGTATATAATTTTATCAAGCGTAGTCAACTAGGCTTCATAAAGGGGAAATCAGGTCATACAAATTTACTAGAACTCTTTGAGGTTGTAACAACCAAGATAGATAAAGAGGAAGCAGTGGATATATTATATTTGAGGTATTTGATACAGTACTACAAATTAAGTCATTTAATAAGGTCAGAGCCAATCTGTTGGAAGGAGTACATTAGCATGGATACAGGATTGGCTAACTAATAGAAGACAGAGGGGTGATGTTAAGAGAGAGATTTTCCGGATGGCAACTTGTAACTAATAGTGCCACAGGAACCAGTGCTGGGCCTCAATTATTTACAATATGTATTCATGACTTTCAGTTGTTTCAGCGGCGGGAGTCCGGGAGGAAGCGCGAGGGCA